GCAAACTGTTTTTCCATCACTGTTTTGACCTATCCTTTGTTCTCTGTAAAATGTTTTTAATTCATCTAACTAACTGAATAGAGCACTGTGATTAAGCACGCAGACTTGGAACCAAATTGCTGGGACACAAATCATATCTTACCAGCTGAGTCACCTTGAATAAATTGTTTTACTTGTGATTGCTAAACTGTCCTTTATATGAAGTAAGTATGATTATAGCATCTTTCTCACAAAGCTGTATAATGCAGTTCAGGGTACAGGATAACTGCTTCATAAATGGCAGTTATTACCATTTTTATTCTTAAGGTCCTGCTTTGATCCAAATCCTCTCAAAGACCAAGTCCTATCTCTGAAGTTTGTTAGCACTGGCAGGTATCCCTGATAACACTGGATCTATACCAATTGGCTTGCCACTGGATGTATCTCAGACAAAGGACTGTGTCCATGTATTCACCAGGTACCACCTGGTGCTGACTGATGTAGTTCCTTTATGCTGCTATCCCACTCCCCTGATCCTTTACTTCTCTCTTGTTTTGGGGACATTGTCAGATTGCATGCTGAGCCTCAACACTGTTTCTAGGTTCGGCTAATTTTCCATCTGTTGCGAGTCCCAAAGAGTGGCAATTATTCAAATAGTGATCTTTATTCTGAAGATATACTTATCCTCTTTATGTTTTTCAAATATTAATGAATATAATCGGTAGCTTATTTTTATTCAGTGTTGCTTTTCATATTATAAATTTGCTTTTGGTTGAAACTCATTGGTTTCTAAATTGAAGGAAATAGCTACAAGTATTTGGTAGCTACCAAGTCCTGGGGTAGGTGGTGTGGATTTACACACTGTGTTAAACAGCTGCTGTTCCAGAGAGAGCTTACAAACAAATTGTATGGCACTCATATGTTCATAAACTTTTTTGTTAATGATTATTAAATTAACATTCCTCATGTTTTGCTCTCACTGATGTGGACCAGCTAAGCTACGTGCAGTAATCATCTGAACTGTACATAAATGAACACGTGAATTGGGATATGGAAACAAAATATGGGAGCCGGCGCCGCGGCTCAATAGGCTAATCCTCTGCCTACCGGCGCCGGCACTACAGGTTCTAGTCCCAGTCGGGGTGCCGGATTCTGTCCCGGTTGCCCCTCTTCCAGGCCAGCTCTCTGCTGTGGCCAGGGAGTGCAGTGGAGGATGGCCCGGGTACTTGGGCCCTGCACCCGCATGGAAGACCAGGAGAAGCACCTGGCTCCTGGTTTCGGATCAGTGCAATGCGCCAGCCACAATGCGCCTACCGCAGTGGCCACTGGAGGGTGAACCAATGGCAAAAAGGAAGACCTTTCTCTCAGTCTCTCTCTCTCTCTCTCACTGTCCACTTTGCCTGTCAAAGATAAAAAAAATATGGGAAAGTAGAACAGTAAGAGCAGCATTTTTGTTTAAACTCTAATAATGAGAAATTTCACCAGTTGATCTTTTTCATTTTGCTATATTGGTATATATGATATTACAAATTATTTCTCAGACTACACAAGTACATCTTGGGTGTAAAAGGCACAAAAAACAGCTAGCAATTTGGCACACTCAAGCTGTACATAAAATGTCTCTAATACCCAAGTTTTAGGCTCTCTTAGTACATTTATGAATCGGCCTACTGAACCAAGCACTGAAAATGAGACTCAGTTGAAGTCTATCTCAATCAGCAATTTGATGGAAACTAGGACATCAGAGAAATTATAACAAGCTCTCTCAAAAGTTCATCTCTGCCCTTTTTTCAAGATCAGAATAAGAATGGAGAGCAAAAATACTTTCCCCTCTTGGGGGCAATCTGATGGGTAATGTTACAGTTTATTTTCTTTGGTAGTAAGTCTCCCTAGAAGTCAGCTGCCTGAGTTTTTAACTAGTGACTTTAGCTTATATGCCAAAGGAAAAAAATATTTTTCTTATAGTCCATGTCCTAGGTCCAGTGCCATCTCTGATTAAAATTCCAGTATTGGGGCCAGTGCTGTGGTGTAGTGAGTAAAGCCGCTTCCTGCAGTGCCGACATCCAGTATGGGTGCCGGTTCAAGTCCCACTTGCTCCACTTCTAATCCAGCTCTCTGTTATGGCCAGGGAAAGCAGTAGAACATGACCCAAGTCCTAGGGCTCCTGCACCTACATGGGAGACCCAGAAAAAGCTCCTGGCTCCTGGCTTCAGATTGGCCTGGCTCTGGCCGTTGTGGTCGTTGCAGGAGTGAATCAGCGGATAGAAGATCTCTCTCTCTCTCTCTCTCTCTCTCTGCCTCTCTGCAACTCTGCCTTTCAAATAAATAATTAAATCTCCAAAAAAAATTCCAGTATTTGAAAGGCTCAGCTGAGTCCAGAAACTTAAAGAAATGCAGTGTCATGATCTGACTAAATGTAACTTAAAAGTCATGGAAGGAAATTCATATTTTTCATGGTTGGCTTTTACAGTATTGTTAGGGTAATACAACACAGGGTAAAATGTTTTAAGTGATAAATTTATTAGCGTTCTGATAAAATAGCACAAATAATGTGCATGACCATATATGTTCACTTAAAAGCAACATAGTACTGTGGGTTCTGAGAGGCAACAAAAAGAGGCTCTTGGTGTACATAGCTAGTTAGGAGTTTTTGAGATGATACGGAAAAACATGAATTTTCAAAGAAATATTATGCATTATGTTTCCTTTATTCTAATGGTTCAACTTGTGTGAGCAGATGAACGAAGTCCTATATTGATTCTACCAAAGAAAATGCCACTTAATGACACTTGCATTTTTGATATTTAAAGCTCTCAGAATCAACCAAAATTAAAGCAAGATTCCAGCAAACTATGTCAATGCTTTGCTTAGAAATCACATCTTCATATAACTAACTGTGGGTATTTAGAGATTTATTCTTCTAGAATATTAAATTTATGGAGAACATAGGTTCATAAATTATGAGGGCCATCTACACATAACATTCTAGGCCTTACCACTAAAAACATAAAATGTTAAGCATCCTAAACTACCATTTGCCACATTTGCATTAATGCCTGGAAAATACTGAGGTTTCAAACACAGAATCCAAACTATTCTGAATAGTACTCACAAATGGTATTTTTCCCACCTGTTAGTTTTCTTCTCTCTAAATTCCTAGGCCCTCAATATTTCTCTGAAGTTTCACAAATAAATCAAACTGCTGAATGAGGGAATGGAAGAATCAATGAAAGAGTATTATGTTTGTGAACTATTTCGTTTTTAAATGATACAAAAGTTTCTCATCCCCAGTGGTACAAGGAGCAGACTGACGTCAAAGATCAGTAGGCATTCATGAGACTATTCATATAGAGACTTAAATACACTTATGTTGCATAAATAGCATTTGATGGGAAAATTTGTTATACATTTTTCCATTGTATTTTTCAAAGGTGCTGGTATCTTGGTCTTAGTAATAAAAATAAATAAAGAAAGAACCAAGAAGTGTCTGTGACCTCAAATTTCTAGAACAAAGGTTAAGGGAAAGAGAAGGTCACTGAGTTCTTTGGCATCCATCACTCAGGCAAAAAGTTTCCTTATTAACTTTATGTCAGCTCACTTTACATCTCTGACAAGTATTTACATAATATTAGTTACCTATAAAATGCCTCTAAATTAATAGAACAAGTTCAGATTAAAGAAGAGATATTCAGTCCTATTGAAAGTCATATTAAATACCATAGTTATTCTAAAGAGGAAGGAACATAACAACCTATTTATTGTTAATGTTAGGAGATTATTTTTCTCTGGATGAATGGAGATTTATATGTCTCAAGTGTGTATTGGAAAAGATATTAAATACGAGAGATAGCGGTGAGGGAAGGCTCCTGGGAAATGTGTTGGAATGCATACACACAACTTTACTGCTTGTGTTTTTGCTTTTACAGGCATAATTGCAGCTGAACAGTCATTAGGAGCTGTGTGGTGGTTTGGCTTCTCCAGCAGCATTACTCACCTTCAGGTCCCGATGGACTACGCCCATCTGATGGCAGTGTAGCACAGCCTCCAGGATCTGCTGAATGCAATGACTGCATGCAAACACCAGGGGGCGTGTGTTAGTTCCAAGCTTACACTCACTGTCTGTACACCCTCAGAGAGACTGGGTCAAAGTGCAGAGCTAGCAGACAACTGGAGTTGTATTTTATCACCTTCAATAATGTAAACATATTGCTCAAGTAGAGTGACTACTACCTCAGAACAATCAGGATCTTGCCAGATGTGAACCAGAATGTGGGTCCACTTTTTCTAGAAAAATCTATTTTAAAAAGTGTTCATTTCATTCAGGAGCTCATTTCCTGGTTATAAATTCTCCCAGGAAATGAACTGGAACACAAATATAATCTTTATAGCTGTTGTGTGCCAATTCTATCCCATGCACAGAAACTGTTTTTTCTATTCTCCCCCGTTTTTCCAGTATCGTTCTAAAAGCCATCACATTAGCAGTCAAGGCACCATTAAGGTTAATTTAGGCTATGTAATGAATTTTTGATAAATCATTAACTTCTCGTGCTTTAATTTAGCTGGCAATTATTATCTCTTGCCTCAGGGTTCATCAGACTCAAATGGAGCAATGTGTAACCAGTTGTTCTGCGACAGCCACCCATGGTCTCAGAACAGAAGTGGTGTTGAAATCTACAGGCGGACATACATCACCAGCCAAGTTTCTCTCCAGACAATTGCTGGACATTTGAGGAAAGCCTGCCCCCAACCACCTCTGGTAGTTTACTATTTGGAAACTTAACAGCTTGCATTGTTACTATTGTCCTTCTCCTTTTGCTATGATGTATATTTAGCCTGTAGATGAGCAAACTGAAAGAAGCATCATGCATTATCATTTCATCATTTTCTCATTTTAGGAAACAGTTGGGAAAGGCAAGGGCACCATGTTAAATACCCACCCTCAGCCCTTTCCCCAGAAAAAAAAACAAAAACAAAAACAAAAAACCTCCTTTGATTCAGATATATGGACTCCATATACTGACCTTCAGGTCCCTGTGAACTATGCCATTTAGGTGACAATGATTTACACTTTCTAGAATCTGCTGTATACAATGACTGCAAAGATACAAGGGCAGAATGGAAGGGAGAACATTTTAAAGGCACATATTCACATTGAATACGAAATAAAATGAAAGTTCAAACGAAACAAACAAACAACAAAAATTGTATTTCTTCCCTTTTTTTAGCTTTATACTGAAATTAAACAATGCTGAATAAAGCTAACTCTGGTTCTAACAAACACAACATCCAACATAGAATTTGTGACATGTTCAGACAAAACAATTTGAACTGTGTTTTTTTCATTGCAAGTCACAAATTAAGTCATCTGTATACAGAAGTTGAATCTTCAATATTCAGTAAGAAAAATGTATAAATAATTCCCATAATGTTCTGGGAAAATTCTTCAGACATATAAAATGTCCATGTATTTTTTTTTTTTTTGACAGGCAGAGTGGACAGTGAGAGAGAGAGACAGAGAGAAAGGTCTTCCTTTGCCGTTGGTTCACCCTCCAATGGCCGCCACGGCCGGCATGCTGCGGCCAGCGCACTGCACTGATCCGAAACCAGGAGCCAGGTGCTTCTCCTGGTCTCCCATGGGGTGCAGGGCCCAAGCACTTGGGCCATCCTCCACTGCACTCCCGGGCCACAGCAGAGAGCTGGCCTGGAAGAGGGGCAACCGGGACAGAATCCGGCGCCCCGACCGGGACTAGAACCCGGTGTGCCGGCACCGCAAGGCGGAGGATTAGCCTAGTGAGCTGCGGCACCGGCCATGTCCATGTATTTTTTTATACACATCAAAACTGTTTAAAATCTGAGGTCACAATTAAACATGGGTGTTGAAACAAGAGGGTGAACACAGATGAAGTGGCAGGCAAAACAGGGGTTAAAAAAAGGAGGGACACATTTACTATATGACTTAGAATTGCAAAATATATTAATAATAAAACAAATGCAAGTTTCCAATAACAGAGGGAGAATTTAAAGTAAATGTATAACACAAAATAAATCCCTCTTCAGCGTAAGAATACTCTGGGGAAGGGCTGGGAATCTTGCAAACAATGAAAATAAAAAAAAATGTTTTAATTCAAAGGAGCACTGGTAATTATTAACCCCATTTCCATACACTTCAATGAGGAAAAACTTTCACTCATTACTATGTCAAAATGTATAAATCAAGCTATTCTTATCAAAGGCTCACTGATATCAAATTTAAGGGTATTTCAAAAGGTTCATGAGAAAATGAGATTAAAAGATGTTGATTTTGGTGCAAAAAAGTGTTGAAATCCCCCTTTTTTATAATATACATTTTCCATGAACTTTTTGAAGAGTCTATAGACTGCTAATTGCAGGACAGAAGAGAAATTTCTGATTGGCACCTTAAGGTTCCAGGAGCTGTTATCTGACAAACAATAACGTAGAACATATCACATTGATGGAATTTTTATAAATTCACTGTGCAATTAAGTTGCAACTTTGTACAGAACTATATTTATTCATTGAAGAATAAAGCAAACATTTTAATATAAACATATCAAACCATCTCATGTACAAAATACATTACTTTGAGGAAATTCCTGAAGAAAAATATAATCACTATATGATTTAGTACAATGAAAATGTCAAAAAAATTGATTGTAGCCTTTTACTCTAACTCTATTAACAGTACTATTAAAAGAGCCTCACATTGGTTGTTGATTACACAGTTTATTTGAGTATTGATCATTATTTTTAACTATATGATGCTTTCTTCCTTCTACAATAATGTTCATTTTGTACTGCTTTTTAGAAGTATTTCCCTTCCTCCTTTCAAACCACATACAGTGGACCTAAGGAATAATAGAAAATAAAAAGTAAACAATAATTCATGTTAAATGAACTTCACTACTTTTTACTAGTGAAGATGGGTAAATTCTTAAATTCTTGAGAATGTGTAAGAAAATATACTTTTACAACATTTTTGAGGAATATCTTCTTTACACCTTAATTGGGAAAAGAATGTTTCATCTTGCTTTTGTGTAAGATCTATCTAAAAATATCTTGTGGTTACTTTCCAAACTTAACATAAGCATGCATATTAAATGACCTAAACCATAGGTTCTATCACATTGTCTTATGGTTCTACGACAGTTAAAATAATATGTATTTCAATTTTAACCAATATTTTTCAAACATATTAATAACCTGTTTAATATATTTTTAAGGCAAAATAAATGAAATTCCTCAACTCTTTACCACCTTGATTAAATTATCATTCTTGTGGCAAATGGGAAAGGCAAATATCTACTTCTAGGGTGCTCTGCAATTCCTTTTCTAGGATCTATTGTGAAGATTTCAAGTATTTTGCACAACCAAGGATTTGTTTTTCATGGTATAAGTTACATGGAAATTTTTATTTGAATTTATTAGCAAAAATTCTATTAAAAATGTGGAGTGATGTACAGATTCATATAATGTCATAAACAGTGACATTAAACTAAGAAGTTAGAAATGTTGAAATGACTCTGAGTATGCCATGCTACATTGCAGGGAGGGGCACCTCAAGACCAGCTGCATGTTGGCTGCATCTAGGGAGGGATGGGCAATCCTTGGGAAACTCTGAATGGGAGTATATCTCACATTACTAATGAGCTACTTAATCTTGATCAGGTTTTGTAAGATTAGAGATAATTACATACATATATATATATATATATATGTAAGGAATGATGAGGAAAATAATACCTAAGCATCTGTTACATCACTCCAAAAATGTTGCTTTAGAGGTGCTTAGGAAGTTTCAAATTAGACAACATATTAGCCTTTAAAAAAACTGTGAAGATTTCGCCAATTAACAAGTTTGGGAAATAATTACTGAATGCTCTGAAATGCTTGAATAAATATTTCTCATGTCAGAGCTCCAGAGTTTTAATGCAATTTAAGGAGACCACTAGTTCTTTTTTCAGTCTGCTTCTATTTTCTGAGCAGACATGTGCTGTTCAGTAGAACTTTCTGGGAGGATAGAAAGGCTCTATATCTGCTCTGTCCAACTGACAGTCACAAGCCACTTGTAGCTATTAAGCACTTGGATTGTGGCTAGCTAAACTGAGAACAGATAAACAGAAATTTTAGACCACATCCACAGATTTTTTTTTTTTCTCTCAGAATCATTCTGGAGAGCCTTAAAAGAGACAGACATCAATTAATCATGAAAAGAAGTCCAAGATGACATTACGAGGTTCTCAGAAATACTTTCAAGAGAATTTTAAAGTATATTGAACAAGTGCCATTTGAATGTTGAATCTTGTTTGTTGTGTAGGGCAAGTTACTTACCTGGCGTCTGCTTCACTGTAATATTCTCTTGCCACTATGTCTTCAAAGAGTTCACCTCCAGTAACTCTGTGAAGACAAATACAATAACCACATGGAAAAAGAAGAAGAAAAACAAGCACCAATAGGTTTGTAGCTAGCATTCATTTGGAATTTTTTCTTAGATTTTGAAAAAATTATCAGAACAAATTATTTATAAACTATCATGGCACTTAGTTTTCATTTATAGTCAGATCTATGTTATTAATATAAACATTTTTTTTGTCTTGGAATAACTAGATCCTAAGGTCACAATTTTCCATGTTCCATAAATATATTCAGTAACGTCTTCTATAGAAAGTAGCTTCTAAGAAAGTATTCATTTCAATTCTACAAATATTAAGTGAGATTTGACAAAATGGATGCACACTTTAGCAACATTTTCTGAACAAAAAGGGGCTGATAAAATGACAGCAGTTGAGAATGAGTGTGTAGCCCTAATTCTGTGTATCTTTTCAATTTTTTTGTGCATGAATCTTTAAACCTAGAGATTTTCTCCCTTACAAACACACACATAGAAATGCAGACTTGGGGCTGGTGCTGTGGCGTGGCGGGTAAAAGCCGCTGCCTGCAGTGCCAGCATCCCATATGGGAGCCGGTTCGAGTCCTAGCTGCTCCACTTCTGATACAGCACTCTGCTATGGCCAAGGAAAGCAGTAGAAGATGGCCCAAGTCCTTGGACTCCTATACCCGTGTGGGAAACCCAGAAGAAGCTCCTGGCTCCTGGCTTCGGATCCCAGCAGCTCTGGCAGTTGCAGCCAATAGGGGAGGGGAAGACCTCTTTTTCTCTCTCTCACTCTGCCTCTCCTTTTCTCTTGGTGTAACTCTTTTAAGTAAATAAATAAATCTTTTAAAAAGAGAAAAAAATGCAGACTTTTCTCACAAAAGTGGGATTGTGAAAAAATCAGAAATAATGAAGTTATATTTTTCATATTACATAAAATCAAGAGCTCTGTTTCATGTGAAAAGCATTTACTCCTATTTAAAATAATATAGCCACGAATAGTTACTCATAAGCATATGTGCATGTGTGCACACATAGACATTTGCACATTTGAGAATTTTTTCATATTGTATTCATATTACTATGTGGTCACCCAATAAAAGCTCTTGTACATTTAAAAAAATAGAATTTTTTTCTAGAAAAAAATCTTACAAGTAAAATTTCTGTGTCAGAGAGTACTCAGATTTAAAATTCTGTGGATGCACAAGGCAAACTGATTTCCAACAGAGTGAAGGTGCTCAAGATCCAAATCATTACTAATAATAGCTATCACCAATAGCTATCACCAGCTAATTGTAAAGAAATTAATTCTATGTTAATGCAAATTTCTTATTAGCAAGGCAGAGCATTTCTCATTTATATATGAATCATTTCATTCTCTGCTATGATCTGACTTGATTTTAAAAGAAAATTTCAGCTCTGGGACTTAGACTTGCAATAGCTCACACTTGCTGAGTGCTTACGAATGTGCCACACATTGTACTAAACATTTTATTATGCCATAAATCCTCACAATTACTCTCTGACGTAGGTTGTATCCTTAGCCCAGTTTATTGATGAGAAAGTGGAAGCCCAGGGAGGTTCAGTAACTTGCTCAAGATCACATAGCTTTGAGTGGTACAGATGGAGCCCATGCCCTCAACTACTACACAGTGCAGCCCTTCTATTATCAGCCTTTCAGACAGTTTAGAAGTCATGAGTCATTTGGAAAGGCATCAAGAGAGTGTGTAAAGTTTTGTGTATGTACATCATACAGTATGAGATAAAGTGACTTTAAGATAGTTTTGTGTTCTGTTTGCTTTTTAATAACTCAGAAATTATTTTTGCCTAAAATGATCACAAAGCTTTATATAGCTTGTTCTAAACCATGGTTATATGTACATGTAATTTCATGTAATAGCATAGCTATTTTCAATCTGAATAGAAAATAAGACAGTCATATAATGTTCCCTAAATTATAATATAGAATTAAATTGATGGAAAGCACTTTCAATAAAGTTGTTGTTGATCTTATAATACAAGTTCTGTGTGATTCTTTCCTTTCCATGTGACTGGTGTACATAATACATATTTATATTTATTTAACCATAAGTACTTAGACAATCTGCAATTATAAAAATTTTAGAGTGTGAAATGCTTGATAAACATTGAGTTAAAAGTTTGTTGTAAGTAACAAAACTGTTGCTGCTTACAGTAGCTCCTTACTATTTATCCCAGAATTGTCAGATCCTGGATCAACAGGATCTTGACTAAATGGTCTTTGTTACACTAGCACTGAACTAGGCATTAACACACAATGTTTGCTCCATTAGGGATTATTAGAGAGTAGTGATTAAATGAATTATCCCAGTCAGAAAATCATGCTATCCATTTCACTCACTCTAAGCCTAGACTTTACATGAGTTTAAAAAAGAAAAAAAAGACTGTCTTCCCTCTCCCTCTTACACACACACACACACACACACACACACAGAGTTTAGCTATATATGGGAATAGATTTTATTTCTCATGGAGTTTGGATTTACAGGAAAATACTAAAGAGGGGAATATTCTGGTGATTTTCAACAAACTGTAATGCTTTAAACAAAATTGAAGGGTATTAAATTTGATGGTGAGTTTTGTATTATGCCAATTGCTTCATACAGTACTCTTTTTCACCTTCTAAAATTCAATCTTCTCTGTATTTAAAAATATTCTTATGTCACTTCTACTATATGGTAAATATCTGAGAAGCAATGAGTTATAGTAGAATTTGCTGCCGTAAAGAAAAATTAGTTTTCTAACTTCAATACTCACATTAAATACTCACATTCAATACTCAAATTTCTAACATTCTTTTTTTGGACAGGCAGAGTGGACAGTGAGAGAGAGAGACAGAGAGAAAGGTCTTCCTTTGCCGTTGGTTCACCCTCCAATGGCCGCCGCGGCTGGCGTGCTGCAGCCGGCGCACCGCGCTGATCCGATGGCAGGAGCCAGGTGCTTCTCCTGGTCTTCCATGCGGGTGCAGGGCCCAAGGACTTGGGCCATCCTCCACTGCACTCCCTGGCCACAGCAAGAGGGGCAACCGGGACAGAATCCGGCGCCCCAACCGGGACTAGAACCCGGTGTGCCGGTGCCGCAAGGCGGAGGATTAGCCTAGTGAGCCGCGGCGCTGGCCCAAATTTCTAACATTCTATACTCACATTATTGTTTTATTGTTTAAGAGAGTACACTATCATATAGTAATTAGTAAAGCTTTGCAAAATTTTGGTGTTTTATGTGAAAGTTCATGTAGTGCCAGAAATTAAATCAGTCTCATGAATAAACAGATTTATTTATTAGTTAGGGACTGCATAAGTTAATTGTTACTAGAATTCTGCTATGGCACAATATATATCAATTAGTTTTGAGGCATTAACTACCATCTATGACTCTCTAAATCATCAGAGCTTAGAGGGAAAAAAGATAATTCTAGAACCATGGAAACATGAGATTTCACATATCAAAAAGATACATTCTCTTGTTATTGTTTTTTATGGGGGTGTTGATTCATTTTGTGGTAAGTTTCAGAATGAACTGTTCTTTTGTTTCTAGTCTACATATCTAGACATACATATCTATATTATCTGGGACATACTGGAAATGGTCCAAAGTAGGTTCACCTCCAATAAAAGTTGTAAAATTTCATGTATAATTATAGCTTTGACTATGATGCTAAGCAGCTGGTATAGTCCAAGACTGGGTTTTGGAAGATAAAACAGTGTCGTTTTAACCCAAGAACTAGTATTGAACTGGAGTTTAAAACCAGTGCCCAATGTGGTGGAGAGAAGCCAGGGCTTCTAGGTTGGAGCTGAACTGAAAAAGAGGAACCAAGAGCAGGGACCCATCTTGCCAAAGTAGAACGAGGAATCATCTCTGGAAAATAAGCGTAAAGCTCAAAAATAAACCAGGTGAACTGAGAGCACCAGACCTGGAATCCAAGGCAGCAGGGGTCGATTAAGCAGTTAAGCCAAGAATCACTACAGTCAAGATTTTTGTTTTTTTGTTAAAAATCATATACTGGGGCTGGTGCTGTGGCACCGGTTCAAGTCCTGACTGTTCCACTTCAGATCTAGTTCTCTGCTATGGCTTGGGAAAGCAGTAGAAGATGGCCCAAGTCCTTGGGCCCCTGCAACTGCATGAGAAATCCATAAGAAGCTCCTGTCTCCTGGCTCCTGGCATCAGATTAGTGCAGCTCTGGCTGTTAAGGCCAGTTGGGGAGTGAACCAACAGATGGAAGACCTCTCTCTCTCTCTCTCTCTCTCTCTGCCTCTCTTTCTCTCTCTGTGCAACTCTGACTTTCAAATAAATAAATAAATCTTTAATCATTTTAACAGTTAAGATGGCATTTATACCACTTATTTTTAAGGGTTTGGAGTGCCATGACAAGTTCTTAGGCTGTACCCTTAGAAGTAAGTCTGTAGGACTGTACGCAGAACTATACTGCTTTACAGTTACATACTACCTCCTCCATCTCTTTTTTCCCCCTCTTGTTTTTAATGGGGATCTTTTTCCAATTGACTTAAAATACATATGATTAACTCTATGTTACATAAAGAGTTCAGCATATAGTATGAAGAAGAGAAAAGAAAGAAAACAGAAAAAAAAAACAAAATAAAAAGGATATACAAAATAAAAAGTAACAATGATAAACTGTCCCTAGACAGTCAGGTCAAGGACTATTCAAGTCATTGATTTTAAAAGTGTCAATTTGGCTTCTATAGCTTTCATTTTAGGAGTGCTATTAATTTTCCCAAATCAGGGAGGAAATATGGTATTTGTCTCTTTGGGACTAGGTTATTTCACTAAGTATGAGGTATTCCTGCTTGCTCCATTTTGTTGCAAATGACCAGATTTCATTCTTTTTTACTGCCATGTAATTATTCCAGTGTACATATCCCACAATTTCTTTATCCAGTCTTTGGTTGATGGGCATTCAGGTTGCTTCCATGTCTTAGCCATTGCAAATTGAGCTGCAATAAACGTGGATGTGCACATAGTTCTTTTG